CACTTTTCCCACCAGAGACCAAGCCCAGTGAGATGGCAGTGTTACCCAGTGCTGCTGCTAATCCTGATGGTCCATGGGGTGGTGGCCTTGGCTGTTCTCCTGAAGGCTGTAAGTGTGGTTTCAGGTTTGCCTTGTGATCCCAGCCCCAGAACTACCTCAGCCACTGCCAAGGAGCCACTGTGTACTCTGCACACAGCCTGCCAGGCTGTGCTTCCCAAGAAAAGCATGTGATGCTTATCTCAGGGAGGAAGATGCCAAATCTTTATTACTGCTATTATTGCTCTGACCTTACAGCAACCATTACCTAGGGAGCTAGCAAGAAAGCGCAGAGAAAAAGCGACAACTGTCCTCCCTGTCCAAGTGGGCCCTGATGGGTTTACTACACAGAGGCAGCTTCCTGCCTGACTCAGGAGTGCTTTCTGGGGTTCGGGAAACCCTGGGATCCTCCAAGTCTCCCTGTTTTCTCCCAGCTATGGCTGTTCCACAGCTGCCAACAGGTGTGCTAGAAAAATCAGGTTTCTAGGCAGATGCTCAAGGCCACCCGGAAACCCTGCTCTGCTGCCCTGGTCAGCTCCCTTTCCACTGCACACAGTAGCTGTTCCAAACCTTCACCCACCCTCGAGCCTCCAATGCTACCTTCTACCCCCTCATTCTCAGCAGATGGTCTTGCCTCCTACTTCAAAGAAAAAATAGAGGCTATCAGGCTGCTACACACTCTGCTGCCCACTTTCCCTCCCCATCTCTCCTCTGCCCCACACTCTCGTCTGTATCCAGCCTTCCTACCTTCCACTGAGCTCAAAGCAAAGCCTGATCAAAGGCTAAGGTTCCCACCTGTGTTCTTCATTCCCAGTCACCTGCATCTCCCCCAGGACTTGATCTAGCAATTACTTTTCTCCGCTGAATCCCCAATCTGCCCCCTTCCCCATCAGCTACAATTCCACTCAAGTCTCCCCAATATTTAACCTGACGTTCCGCTCTGACCACTACTTAACTTTCCCAACCTTCCACAGGTAAACATTTGAAGAAAGAACATTCTCCATGAAGGGTCTCCACTTCCTTGAGTCCCAATTCCCTTTCACCCTGCTCAGGCCACTGTAGCTTCTCTTCCTAACCACCCTAAATTGCCAAATCCAAAATACCCTTTCCAGTGCTTTACTGATTGATCCCCCATTTGATAACGTTGAAGAATTCTGGCAGACTCTATTTTCAGAAAAGGGGCTGCAACAGTACCTCCCATTCTTATACACTTGGAGAACCTTGCCACTCTCCCATTAGGATGTAGAGTCTATTTCCCCAATGCTGAACTTAACTAAGGGGGCCTTTGTGACTGATTCATCCAAAAGAGTAAGTAAGAAGTAATCCTATGTGGCTTCCAAGGCTGAGTCATAAAATTGTGATGTACTTTCAGCCTTATTCTCTTGGGTCACTTGCTGTTAGAACCAGCCGCCATGCTGTGGGGAAGACCAAACAGCCATGTAGAGGCTGATATGGTGAGGAACTAAGGCCCTGGCCCACAGCCCCAGTTAAGCTCCCAGACAACAGCTAGCACCAACTTGCCAGCCAGGGAATGAGCCACTCCAGCCCCCAGTCAAGCTACTCCAGCTACTGCTGCATAAAACAGATGAGTTTCTCTACCAAGCCCTGGCCAAACTGTGAATTCATGAGCAAAACACATGACTGTTGTTTTAAGGCACTGTGTTTTGAGGTGACTCATTATGAAGCATTAGATAACTGACATAGCGCTTTCATCTTTAACTTTTCTCCACTGAATATGGCAGCACTGCTCAATCCTGGTTCTCCTCCAGTCTCTCTAACCATGCTCTCTTAGTCTCATTCATGACTTATTCTCTTGGGCTCACCCCCCAACGAACAATGTTTTGCACAATTTTTTCCTTGCCTTCTTTCTTCTTTTTTTTTTTTTTTTTTAACTCTACATACCTACTAACTCAGCTATCATGAGTATCTTTGCTCATAAATGCTGAATTTGCATTCCAGCCTGGACTTGAGACCAACGGGGATATCCCTATCCAAAACTGCCAAGAGCACCATCTCACCCCACGTGGTTGCTGCACTGACCACTTCACTTTGCTGTGAGATGCATCTCAATCCCCTTATTCTCATGAGAACTTCCATTTTCCAGGCGCCCTTGCCAACTTACTGCCAGCTAGGTTTTGCCCGGAGGCAACACTGAGGGACAAGAGTTGGAAACTCTTCTGCCTCAAATAGCAACTGTGGCTCCCACTCCCAAGTGATGGGCCCTAAGTCTGATCTGGCCCCCAATGAACAGGTTCACCACAGTCTCAGCTTCTACCTGGTGGTCCCAGCTCCTGGGCTCTAAAGAACCACATATTCTCTTTGTCCCTCCAGCTTGAGGGTGGCAGTGGCTTCCCGCTGTTGGTAAGTGTCTCTCCATCCCATTTGGCTTTTCAGCAATTACATCATTGGTAAACTCCATTTTCTGTTTGAAATACGTAGAGCAAGTTCTTTTTCCCAACTATACCCTAAGTGATATACAGTTGTCCCCCTTCTCTGTGGCTTTGCTTTCCAAGGTTTTACTTATCCAAGGTCAGCTGTGTCCTGAAAATAGGTGAGTACAGTATAATAAGATATTTTGAGAAAGAGACGAAATTCACCTCACTCTTATTATAGTATATAATTATTCTATTTTATTATATTTGTTAGTCTCCTACTATGCATAATTTATAAATTAACTTTATCATAAGTTTATATGTGTATTAGTCTGTTCTCATGCTGCAAATAAAGATATATCCAAGACTGGGTAATTTATAAAAGCAAGAGGTTTAAGGAACTCACAGTTCCATATGGCTGGGGAGGCCTCACGATCATGGCAGAAGGCCAAGGATAAACAAAGGCACATCTTACATGGCAGCAGGCAAGAGAGCTTTTGCAGGGGGACTGCCCTTTTATAAAACCATCAGATCTCATGAGACTTATACACTATCATGAGAACAGCATGGGAAAGACCTGCCCTTGTGATTCAATTACCTCCCACCGGGTCCCTCCCACAACACATGGGGCTTATGGGGGCTACAATTCAAGATGAGATTTGGGTGGGGACACAGCCAAACCATATAAATGTGTATAAGACAAAAACAGTGTATGTAGGGTTGGGCACCATCTAAGGATTCAGGGATCCACTGGGAGTCTTGGAATGTATCTTTACAGACAAGGGGAAACTACTGTATATAGTTAAACATACTCAAACATAATCACTTAAGTCAGAAACCTAAGACGTTTGTCTCCTTCTCATTCGTACCAGTTGTAACTCCACCCCATGTGTAAAGCTGGTCACAAAGTCCTGACGATTCCTCCCCTTGAACCCATCAAACTCCCTAACCCCCATTACACTGCCTCACTTCAAATCACTATTTCTCTCTCAGACCAAAGCAGCAACCCCTCAACTGGTCTCCTGGCTACAGTCTTTCTGCCTTCCGATACATCCTCCAGACTCCCAACAGATTTTTATTTCTAATGCACATCTGATCATGACAGTCCCCTGATTAAAATTCTTAAATGGTTCCCCACTGACTATAGGAAAAAAATCAGATCTGCTCAGATCCACAGATATGTAGTGAGTGTTGACCATGCACACCGTTCTGTGCCTTCGCCTGGAATCCAAACCCCCGTGTTCTGTCCTAACTACCTTCCCAGCCTCATCTCCACTTCGAGCTCATACCATCTGAACAAGCTGAAGTCATCCAAGTACGTTCCGTCCTCCAAGAGTCAGGCCTTTACACCTGCTGGACTGTCCCTCTCCTGCCTGGTTACCTCAAGAGTCACCATCTTGTTGCAGCCCCTTGGGTACCCCATCCATCCAGGCACAGTGCTACATGGCACTCTGCAAACACACTGTGGCTGTTTACACACCTGTCTCCACTAAATGGGGAGTGCCCCAAGATGAAGATGGAGCTCACTCACTCTCATGTACCCAGCACCCACCTAACACAGGGTGCAGAAGACCCTCAATGTATACATCAGGTTTGGTTAATGTGAGTCGAAATTAACAAACTGAGAGTACAGAGTGAGGAAGGGAGCAAAGGAAGGGAAACAAGAAAAGGAAGGAAGGCTGCGCACAGTGGCTCATGCCTGTAATTCCAGCACTTTGAGAGGTCGAGGCGTACAGATCATGTGACGTCAGGAGTTCGAGACCAGCCTGGCCAATATGGCAAAACCCTGTCTCTACTAAAAATACAAAAATTAGCCAGGCATGGTAGTGGGCACCTGTTATCCCAACTACTCAGAAGGCTGAGGCAGGAAAATTACTTGAACCTGGGAAGTGGGGGTTACAGAGAGTGGAGATTGTGCCACTGCGCTCCAGCCTGGGTGACAAGAGCAAGACTCTGTCTCAAGAAAGGAAAGGGACATACTGACAGGTTAAACTTAAACAGATTGCTGACCTCCCCGGGGGAGGTGACGGCTACTGCCTCAAGCAGGGTACGCTCAGCTTCTTCTGCCCTTATTCTGAAGCACACAGCTAGAAAAGTCCACTAAGGCTTTTCCTAGGACCATTCAGACAGGTGAATTTGTTCATTCTAAACAAGTACCAGAGAACAAACCTGCAACCTGCATAGATATTTCTATGTGATCTGTATGTCAGTTTTATATCCCTGTTGACCACACGTTCCCTTTAGCTACAATTTAACAAATTAAGATGTAATTTTGTCTACCCCCTAAAAACACACCTTTGGTTCAGCTCATTTCTATGACATCCCTCCCCTGAGATCCCCTTGAACCCTAGCAGCTGCTCAGTGTGTTTTGAGACCACCACGTGAAGTTCCCAGGGACAAATCAAGAACTGACCCACACTGCCATGGGGTTTCGTGGTCACGGAGCTGTCATAACACCTCCTCTATTGTAATCTCAGCAATCCTCTTCCACTCTGCTGCTCAAAGGGCTGGACTCCACCCACCAGCCTGAACTGGTTCCTCCTAGGCAGCCTGGATCCCAGGACTCAGGAAAGAGAAAGGTAGGGCTCTCACCTCCATCAGGAGAATGTCCTTCGAGCTCTGAGCTCGCACCTTTGGGTGCTGAACCTTCACGGCCACCGTTCGCCCATCATGCAGAACTGCCTTGTGGACCTGGGCCAGGGAGGCAGTCCCCAGAGGGGTATCATCAAAGCTCTGGAACAAATCATGGATCTGTCGGGAATGGAGAGAAAACAAAGCAATTAAAAAGGTGACCCAGTTCAGCAAGAGGGAGCCAGGAAGAAGGGCCAGAGTCAGGACTGCCTAGTGCCTACAGGACAGATTTGTGAGTGCGTGCGTGTGTGTGTGTGTGTGTGTGCGTGTGTGTGTTGTGACAGAGTCCTGCTCTGTCGACCAGGCTGGAGTGCAGTGGCACTCCGCCTCCCAGGTTCAAGCAATTCTCCTGCCTTAGTCTCCTGAGTAGCTGGGATTACAGGCATGTGCCACCATACCCGGCTAATTTTTGTATTTTTAATAGAGACGGAGCGGGGCACAGTGGCTCACACCTGTAACCCCAGCACTTTGGGAGGCTGAGGCAGGCAAATCACAAGGTCAGGAGTTCGAGATCAACCTGGCCAAGAGACCAACCTGGCCAGTATGGTGAAATCCCGTCTCTTATAAAAATACAAAAATTAGCCAGGCATGGTGACGGGTGCCTGTAATCCCGGCTACTCGAGAGGCTGAGGCAGGAGAATTGCTTGAACCTGGGAGTCAGAGGTTGTGGTGAGCCGAAGATCGTGCCATTGCACTCAAGCCTGGGTGACAGAGCGAGACTCTGACTCCAAAAATATAGAGAGAGAGATGGGGTTTCACCATGTTGGCAGGCTGGTCTCGAATTCCTGACTTCAAGTGACCAGACTACCTCAGCCTCCCAAAATGCTGGCATTATAGGTATGAGCCACAGTACCTGGCCCCCAGGACAGATTTTTTGCTTTATCAGTTGGGTACCAGCCTAGGGTCTTGCCTGGTCCTCCACTGATGGACATTCACAGTAGGCATAGAGGGAGGGGGACAGAAGACGTGCATGGAGGGCGTGTCCTAATACCTGTGCATGGGGCCTTAAGCACTTCCTCCATCAATGGCCAAATAAGTGCTCTTCAGAAGTTGCAGAAGTGCTTCATCTGCCCATTGAACTATCCACCACTGTGCCTCCGGGGCTCTCACATATGGACATCCCAGCATTAACAGAATGTGGGCCCAGGGCAGCCCCAGTATCTCAGCCCCAGACAGGGATCAGATAGAGGGCGTTTCCATTCCACCAACCATGGGAGCTCAAAGAATCCTGGGCGGAGGCCCCAGACCAACAACCACCTTTTGTTCCTGCCTGAACAACAGTCTCAGCATGGGTCACCAAGTCCACTCCCAGCCTGGCTACTCCAGCAGAGACCCCAGGGCTGCAAGCCAGAGCTTTGCTTTAGGTCATCACCCGCAATGCCACTCAAAGGTAGCCCTGGGCAGCAGAGAACAGTGGCTCGCGCCTGTAATTCCAGTACTTTAGGAGGCTGAGTCTAGTGGATCACCTGAGTTCGAGACCAGCCTGGCTAAAGTGGTAAAACCCCATCTCTACTAAAAATCCAAAAATTAGCCAAGCGTGGTGGCAGGCACCTGTAATCCCAGCTACTTGGAAGGCTGAGGCAGGAGAATCGCTTGAACCCAGGAGGCGGAGGTTGCAGTGAGCCAAGATTGTGCCATTGCACTCCAGCCTGGGTGACAAGAGCAAAACTCTGTCTCACCAAAAAAAAAAAAAAAAAAAAAAAAAAAGGAGCCCTGGGCAAAGCCTCCTGCTCTTTCTGTGCCTCATTTTCTCTCTCCATGAAGTGGAAAATACACTCCTTACTCCTTCTTCTTTTTTCTTTCCCTCTTAGAAATGCCATACCAATTTTCCTGAAGGAAATAAAATTCCCTGACTTGAGTGGCCACATCTACACGGCCCAGATCCAAATATTCAGCCAACTGGGAAAAAGATCCCTAAAGGTCTTTTCCAAGATTGGGCAAGGCTGAAATCCTAACCCTCCCCATTTCGTTCTTTTTTTTTAAGATGGAGTTTTGCTCTCATTGCCCAGGCTGGAGTGCAACGCTGCAATCTCGGCTCACCACAACCTCCACCTCCTGGGTTCAAGCAATTCTCCTACCTCAGCCTCCAGAGTAGCTGAGGTTACAGGCATGTGCCACCACATGTATTTTTAGTAGAGACGGAGTTTCTCCATGTTGGTCAGGCTGGTCTCAAACTCCTGGCCTCAGGTGATCCACCCGCCTCAGCCTCTCAAAGTGCTGGGATTACAGGCGTGAGCCGCCACGCCAGCCCTCTTCATTTATTTAAAGCCTCTGTACAGCTTCAGAATCCTGGAAAGTCCAGACATGCGCACACACATATGCACAAGCGTGTACAGATGCCTGTTCTCCTGGCCCACCCTCCCAGATCCTCATGCTTTGAAGTCTGTTCAGTCTGTGCAGCCCTTCCTCCCTCCGTCACCACTACTGCAGCAGCCACTCTGCCCTGTCCCTCCGCCCCTCTCCTTGGACTTCAGATGTCATGTGACCCACAGCCACCATCCCACGCCATTTGTTAGGCTACACCATCACTTTCCTAATCTCATCTCATAAATCACTCCCTCCAGCCCTGTCATCATTTTTGTCGCTTTTGCTAAACTCCATCCCATTTATCAACATCCTGCCCAGACCAAAGGCCCAGGCCACATGGGGAAAGGCCTGTGCGTCTCTGTCAGGAGAGATGGGTATGGGATTGGCTTCCCTGGTCCCCTTCGTCCTGGTTTCTTTCATTATTATTATTTGTATCACCCCGAGTGGCTGGTTCTCCCTGCTCCCCCCAAAACACACTTTTCTTTTCTCCTCCTTCGTGAGTTCTAGGCTCCCAATAGCAAAATTCTTCCCTTCTCATCCACCCAATCATCCTGAGTTTCTCAGCACAAGAACCCATTATCATTATTATCATCATTATTATTATTATTAATTGTACTTTAGGTTCTGGGGTACACGTACAGATCATGCAGGATTGTTGCATAAGTACACACATGGCAATGTGGTTTGCTGCCTTCCTCTCCCCATCACCTATATCTGGTATTTTTCCCCACATTATCCCTCCCCAACCTCCCCAACTCCTGTCCCTCCCCTAGTCCCCCCCAACTGACCCCAGTGTGTGATGCTCTCCTCTCTGTGTCCACGTGTTCTAATTGTTCAACACCCGCCTATGAGTGAGAACATGCAGTGTTTGATTTTCTGTTCTTGTGTCAGTTTGCTGAGAATGATGGTTTCCAGATTCATCCATGTCCCTATGAAGGACACGAACTCATCATTTTTTATGGCTGTGTAGTATTCCATGGTGTATATGTGCCACATTTTCTTTATCCAGTCTATTGTTGATGGACATTTGGGTTGGTTCCAGGTCTTTGCTATTGTAAACAGTGCCGCAATGAACATACGTGTGCATGCATCTTTATAATAGAACAGTTTATAATTCTTTGGGTGTATACCCAGTAATGGGATTGCTGGATCAAATGGTATTTCTATTTCTAGGTCCTTGAGGAATCGCCACACTGTGTTCCACAATGGTTGCACTAATTTGCACTTAAGAACCCTTTATCTTGGGCCTGGGCTTGAGAACGGGAAACAATGGGATCATCATTCCTGTAAAACCCATTAGGACCTCAGCTGCAAGTGTGGAAGGGATTTTTGTCTGTTCTGTTCACTGCAGAATTCCCTGCAACTCCCTAGAACATGGCTGGAGCTAGTTGGTACCAAACAAACGTGTTGAATGACTGAATCCACTATTCTCTCCACTAGAGAAGAATTGAATCAACTCTTTCTTTCCTTTGAAGTGACTAGACCTTCCTGTTCCCACACTCCTATGAATCCAAAGACCTCAAACGTGGAACTTTCCAAAATAAAAAAAAAAGCATACCTGTTCCTCCAAGGCAGGTGTGAGGCCCTGGCCTGGCCAATCAGAACCCTGAATATCTCTGGCCACATGAATTATTAATTCAGAGATGTACAGGTAACTCAACTGGTCCAATCAGAATCAATCATTTCACTTTTATTTGATATAGAAGAGATGTTTTTCTCAGTTGAACTTGAACATAAAAATAGAAGCCTGCGGTGGAACTGCTGAGGGTCACATAGTAGCAACAAAGAATACAGCTGAGGCAAGAGACAGAGGGAGTGAGTCAGGGCCACAGTGTTTGAGCCTCTTGATCCAGCCATGCCTGAGTACCCACCCTAGGATTCCTTTTCCTGCCTAGGTCGGTTTCAGTTTTCTGCCTCACACAACTGAAGGGGCTCTGATGGATAAAGTGTTCTCAGGTCCTAGCAGGAATAAGTGAAAGAAACAGACATGGTGCCCAGCACCCGCAAGAGACCCAGTAAGTGTGAGTTCCATCCCCTTCCCACCCCCTTGCTGGGACAGGGACCCAGGAATGAAAGGGAAGGTAGAGCCTTGGCAATGTCCCCAGCTGTTACATAATGAGATCAATACCAAGCCCCTTTGCAAGCCCTCTGGAGTTCCTGAAGGAGCACCACCAAGCAGAGGGTTTTCTGGAGCACAGCTGTGAACACACACCCTTATCTCCCAGGCAGCTAAAATGACCAATCTTCCCACCTAAAGGGGCGTGAGGTCATCTGACCTCACTCCCTACCCCAAGCCTCCGCCTGACTCCCAGGAACATCTGTTCATTGTCTGAGAAGGACAACCAGTCTTTAAGCCAGTGTCCTTGCAGGGGCACTGCAGAGTCATTGCAACTGAAGAGTGACATGGCATCACTAGGGCTGTGTAGCAAGAACAGCTGCCAAGAGCACCCCACAGGGAGGTGAGGGAAGAAAAGAGCTGAGGCGAGCAGATCCTAATCTCCAGGGCGAGAGAAAGCCTGGTCCACCACATCCACATTCCCAAAGGACATGAAGGAGGCCTCCCACAATTCCCCATCCCCACCAGGGGAGTCAAGGGGGCCCCGGGATACCACCAAAGCCCAGTGCCCAACTTAGCACTCTGAACAAGGCCCAGCTGTGAGGACTTGCCCACATCTCCAATTCCAGCAGCAGAAGCAAAGACAGGCATGAGGAATGAGGATGCACCCCTCACTGGGCACTCGGGACCTGTCACACAGACACCCCACCCCACCACCTCCCCAGTGTCCCTGCAGCCATCTTTCCCTTCTCTATCA